TGAATCTGATAGAGAACGCTCTTAATCAATCACAATGTAGTGGTTTAGTTTATGTAGTATCCTAAAAAAATCAATTAGCATCTCAGCACTTCAGCACCCGCCCAGCACCTACTCAGCACCTACTCAACACCTGAGCACCTACTCAGCACTTTTCCAGCACCTGAGCACCTACTCAGTACCTCAGCACCTGCTCAGCACCTCAGCACCTGCTCAGCACCTCAGCACCTGTCCAGCACTTTTCGGTGCTGGGTGCCAGCACTTACCCCCTTGAAAAAATGACACCCTTACATCCGTTTTTGTTTTTTTCAGATGAATACTAAGATACATTACATATTGCACTGGTGCATTTTTTATAATTGTTTATCTCTAGGAATGGAGAGCCCTCTATCGTTTCAATAACAATCGAAGAATTATCATTTAACCAATAATTCGTCTTCTCAGTATGTTCACGATTTTAATGTGGCGTATAGAAAAACATTGTGATCCAAGTCTAAATAGATATAGTTATTATTAACATGGACGCTGATGATAAAGACTTGAAACGTGGAACTATTCAATTGTTTTTTCGTACATCCTTCAAGAAGAAAAGAGTTGATATTACTACTTCTACTATTGACAAATCCTCACAATCACAGATCACAGAACCTGACGAAGTAGCTTGTTGTTCAACAGATAAACCAATTGGATCTTCATCGTCATCGTCATTAATATCATCTTCATCAGAAACATTTTTACTGCCATCATCTTCAACATCTACAAATTCACCATCAACACTTTTACCATCATCATCATCAATATCACCAAATTCACCATCAACACTTTTACCACCATCATCATCATCATCAATGTCACCAAATTCACCATCAACACTTTTACCACCACCATCATCATCAATATCATCAAATTCATCATCAACACTTCTACCACCATCGTCATCATCAATATCACCAAATTCACCATCAACGCTTTTAATATCATCACTAACAACGTCTCCGCCTTCAGCAATGGCAGCAGGTACAGAAATATCTGTGATTCCTTTAGATATTAGTCGTTCTTCAAAAGATTCACCTAGTCAACCAAAATTACCTTCGTATAAAACAAACAAAGAAAATCGATCATTTCATTCACAATGGTATGCAAGATTTAAATGGTTAGAATACTCAATCGAACGAGACAGTGTTTTTTGCTACTATTGTCGTCATTTTGGTGATACTATTAATGTCTTAAACAGGGTACGCAAAATTTCATTACTATGTAGACAAATACATTTATAAATGATCCTATTTTTTAAAACTTTTCTGTGATTAATATTTAAGTCAAAAAATTTTTTTTAATCTTTACCTTTAGAATCAAAGTGATGCATTCGTTTCTGGATACAATAATTGGAAAAATGCCTTGACTAAAAGTCAAGGTTTACCTAAACATGAACTTAGTGTGTCGCACAGATATGCCGCTTCAAATTATGAACAATTTATTTTACGTACAAGTACTCAAACAAGCGTAATACATGTACTTGACAAAGGACGTGCTGAATTAATTCGAAAAAATCGACAACGTCTTTCAAAGTCGCATCTGCAGTTCTATTATGTGCAAGACAATTAATTTCCTTACGTGGACATGAAGAAAATAATTTGTTAGTTTATGATAATTAATTCTTGTTCATTTATATTTTCTTAATTATAAATAGATCTAATAATCGCGGTAATTTTATTGAAATTTTAAAGTGGGCATCTTCAACTGATCCCATAGTTGATTCAATATTCGTCGACAGCGCTGATAATGCTACATATTTGTCTCCGCTGATTCAAAACGAGCTCATTCACCTGATGCCACATCAAATAAGAAAACAAATAGCAGAAAAAGTGACTTTGTTTTAGTTGTAGCCGAATTAATTCAACTATATAATGTCCGCTAAATTTTTTAAGATTCATGGACACGTCTTTGCACTCATGGCGGATGAAGCTAAAGATTGTAGTGGGAATGAGCAATTAAGTATTGTGATCAGGTGTATTTCGGATGAGCTTCTGCAGCACAGTGATACAATCGACTGTAATTCCATTTTTAAAGAATACTTTTTAGGATTAGTCAAGTTAAATGAATTTGACGCTCAAACTTTGAGTAATGAAATAATTCGATATTTATCACATTTCAAAATTGACATAAATAGCTGCATTGCTATGTGTTTTGACGGGTAAAAACCTATTGATTTGCTAGTATAACATTGGTTTTTGGTTTTTTTTTGTCATAGCGCGTCTGTCATGAGTGGTAAACATGCAGGTGTTCAGGCTATATTACGCCGGAATTTTATGGTAACTGCAATATATGTGCATTGTTTTGCACATAAACTAAATCTTGTCATATGTGATGTGTCAAAAGTTGTACCTTATTTATCGGAATTTTATTCTATTGTCTCAAAGATATTCACATACTTTCATTCATCCAGTGTTACTAATGAATGGTTTAAAAATATTCAGCAACAATTGATAACAGGTGAGATCAATTACATAGCACAATTCTATCATACTGAAAAGCAGTTAAATAAACAGTTAATTGAGACGGCTAATAATTTTTAGTCGTTCTATTACTATGACTATTGCTCCGTTCTTTCATCTTCACATTATATTGTTCCATTTAAATTGATCTCTGGAAAACTCTTGATGTCCTAAATGCAATGTGCATGTTCAATACAATTATTGCATGCAGTAACTGAAGCTTTTTCATGAAGGAATCTGGAATTAAAAAGAATCTGCATGCTGTTATTGATTGTATACGACAAATGATAATGAATCGCTGAATGCTATCTTACACAGATTCTTTTTCTCATTAATAGAAAATAATAATCCAACATCATTAAAAAAATGGGCCGACACGAGATGGGACAGTAGATGGTCTTCAATCAATTCTATAATTCTAAACTACAAAGCTCTTATTATTTCTTTACAAGAATTAGAAGATGAAGGAAATGAAAGATCTGTTGATGCACGCGGTTTACTTTTATCAGTTAAAGCACCAATATTCGTTGTATCCTTATTTATCGTACACAAGATATTTGGAATCATTAAAGTATTGTCGGATCAGTTAAAAGGTGAACTTTTTATTTAGTATAATTTAATTTGGAATCGAAACTTCTTCAAAGTATTGTTTTTTTTCGTTTTTCATAGCCAAATCCATTGATTTTTGCAAAGCTCAATGTTTAATAAAATCAGTTATTGCTCAAATAGCTGATCTTCGTAATGAACAAGCATTTTCTTATATGTATTTAAAAGTTACCAGCTTTTGTAAAGAGCATGATGTTGATATATTATCAACACCACGAGCACAAAGAAATAGAAAATTATCAATCAGATTTAAAGATGTTTTTATTAGTACTAGTATTGGTCAACGTGACAATGTGAATAATGAAGATCAATATCGAACAAATCTTTATTATCCGTTAATTGATTCCATCTTGATCGAATTAAACGATCGTTTTTCTTTTGAAAATATGCAAATCTTAAATGGAATATCAGCTCTTTGTCCCGACAGCGACAATTTTTTGAAAATTGACGTATTAAAACCTTTTGCGTTACAAATGAAAACTGATTTACACTCATTAGACAATGAAATTCGGGTTCTCGAACCTATGATGAAAAACTCAAAATCAAAAACTATTGTTGAACTCTATGTTGAATTATTGCCACTGGCAAAGGCATTTCCAACGGTTATGTTTCTTATCGTTACCGCCATGACTATACCTGTCTCGTCAACAACCTGTGAGAGAACATTTAGTAAAATGAAATTGATAAAAACAACAACACGTAATACAATGTCCGACGCTCGGTTGAATGATTTATGTGTTATAGCAGTGGAACGTGATTTCAAGATTGATTTCGAAAAACTCATGGATGATTTTTCTGATTTGCACAAAAATAGTAGAATTCTCTTGAAGTAAAACTTTGTGATTTTTTTATCTTTTTACGTAAATAAAGGAGCCATCATTTTAAACACTATTTCAAACGCTTATAAAACTATTGTATCCATCTTCTGGGAAAAAAACGCATGATGCATCAACAAAAAAATCTTTTCAAAAAATCGTTAGGGCGCCGCCCAACCACCCGGTCAATCCTGGTTACGCCACTAAGTAAAACTAAAGCATTCCTATTTTGAATACAGTAGCGATATTATTAATCGAAAACTGTATCAGACCAGGAATATAGCGTAAGTCTTTACCTGTTGTTTGTCTATCTAGAGATAAAATGACGACAAGAGAATACTAATAAGTAATATATTCCTACACTGTGAGCACATAACTGTGAACATCAAGAAAACAGCAGTTGAACCGTTAAACATGTGATACCTTTGAAATTGATAGCTGCTCTTTTTCATACTACACAGATACAAATCGAAATTATTTACTGCTGCTTATATTATTAAGCCGATCATGTCATCTATCTTACTGACCACTTCAAATACAGCTATGACTTTAAAATATTCTGTTATTAGGACGAAGTATTAAATAAATAAATTATGCACATTTACCTATCTATTGTTTTTCGTAGTCAACATCAACAAAATTTTCATAAAGAATTTGATAAACTTTTATTTTGAAGTAGTTGGTAGACAGAAGTTTTATATTCATTAAGAAAGTAACTATGTAACAGCAATATTGAGCGCAAGAAAAATATCGAGTAATCATCCCAGAACGAGCATTACAGCAACCAGACACGGCAGTATACGGCCGTTTACGGCGTCGTATACTGCCGTATACGGCGATTTTACGGCCGTAAGCGGCCGTAAATTC